AGTTGAGGACTACCTGTAGTTAAATGAACAAAAGGGAGTGGAGCTTTGAAGATGAAATGGCATCTCTGCATAAGAAATATGTTTTCAAAATGAGTATACTTATGGCTCACAGTACAGGTAGTCCTCAACCCACAACCTCAGTTGAGCCCAAAATGTTTGTTGTTAAGTGAGAAATTTGTTAAATGAGTTTTGCCTCATTTGACTTTTCTTGCCACATTTGTTAAGTGAATCACTGCAGTTCTTAAATTAGTAACAGAGTTGTTAAGTGAAACTGGTTTCTCCATTGACTTTGCCTGCCAGAGGGTTGCAAAAGGTGATCACATGACCCCGGGCACACTGAAACCATCATAAATATGAACCAGTCATCAAGCATCTGAATGTAAATCACGTGATCCTGGGGATGCTGCAATGGTCATAACTGCGAAAAATGGTCGTTAAGTCACTTTTTTTTCAGTGCTGTTGTAACCTCAAATGATCACTAAAGCAAACTGTTCTACAGTAAGTCAAGGACTACTTGTATAATGGAAAAAAAATCAGCATAAATAGTTTTTAAAAAATAAAAAAGGAACAGGGAGTATGCCCAGGTCCTCAAGAGGATACAGGTTAGGCTAGCTATACAAGCACCTACATGCTCCTATCATATTCCAGTATGTTATTCCAATCAAGAAGATTGCTCTACTGACCCAAGTGTGTGAACAGTTGTGTCTGCTCATGTGTGTGTAACAGCATTTTAATCACCAACAAAGGACAGCTGCAACCATAGTTCACTTGAATGCTATAATCAAATGCAGAGCAAAGTAACCATTCAACTCTCTCTGCTGATGTAAGATGCTGAATATTTTAATCACAATCCTTGGCATAAAATAAGATCAAATGGTTTTATAGTATCCTTATTTGTAGGAAGCTCCCTCTTCCATGCCCAAGTGTGGAAGGTTGTATGTATGAATTCTTTCAAGGCAGAGATCCTAAGTGCAGATTAAAAAAAAAAAAAAACTTCTAAACTTTCCCAGCAGCTTTCATATTTTGGATGGATATGTGGGACTCTGATGTCACAAGGGATTGTATATACATTTTCTAAATGTAAAGGTGTATCGAATTGTATGGCCAAGGTCTGGAAAATACAATTGCGATGGCCAGACAAAACTCTTGCATCACTATGTTTCCTAAGCCTCTTCCCTAAGCCTCAAAGTAAACTTAAGGGAAAGATAGTTTGACTGAAAAGGGATGGCAATTTTTCCATTACCACCCTTGTTGCTCAATTCTGCTCTTCATTTTACCACCACTGATAATGATAGCAGCAATACATTTAGAGACTATGCCAAATCTCTGTTCAGTGAAGGTAGAGGGCCTAGCAAAAGCCTGAAACAGCTTTCAGGGTCTTGTCAAACTGCCGGCTGCGTCATCCAGAAGCCGCGCCCATCCCATTGCCGGCAATGGCAAAACCGTCCCGATATGTTGTGCGACGTCACGTGATGTCGCGAGTTTGACATAGAGTCACACACTGACCCTCCTCCTATTACTGGGCTGTAGAGAATATTTAGAAGCCAACATCTTGTTTCATAAACAGGTAAAATTTTTATATTCATGTAAAACAGACCAAAATAATAAAAAATATATACACGCACGCACTACAGATCACAATACTAGAGAATATTAACATACAGAGAAGTGCAAACTTCCCTCCCCAATTAATTGGCTTTTTAAAAGTTTATTACAGAGATTAATCTGGCTTATTTGAAAATGTGAAATACAGCTCACATCATGTACTACAGATATATCAAGAAATTCTAAAAATCTGGAAACTTTTTTTAAAAGCTTTTTATACAAAGGGGAAGGAGAGTGCCAGCAAAAATTCAATGAAAACATACATTTGTCACTCCAATATCAAAAAGCATAATTATTGGTGAACACAGGAAAGTCTAAAAAACTACCAGCCATTTGTGTTAAGATCTTGTTTTTTTCCTCTCTGTTTTAAAGTAGCATTAAAAAGGATAAAAAGTGCACACACACTCTTATAAGGCACGAACAGATTTTTCAGAACAAATTAAAAAAAAAAGGAACAAGCAGTAGCAAAAACTAATTGCTAAGTAGCCTCCACTTCCTAAATGTTATCTGTCAGCATGTGAGACTTCCTTCTGAAATTTCAGTTAAACAGAGCTGTGTTTCCGTTTAAGCTTATGGACCTGCCTCCGAGCCTCTGTCAGATGCTGCTTCATTTGGTAAATCTTTTTTAAGATAAAGAAGACCCTTTTTTGCCTTGGCACCAAGCATTTTGCTTTTTGCAGTTATTGTAGGCATAAATTGCCAAGCCAGGAAGAAAATATGCTCACTTAGCTAAATCAGTTCCAGTGCAAAGGTTTAGGGCAAATGCTCAGGTAGATTTTATATTAAATGGCTGATGATTAAATAGACTTAAGTGACAGTTCTGAAAGAGATACTAGGAGGCTACGTGTTGCTGAGAACATCAGTTTTGGAGGTTGTAAATAGCACCCAAGTGGGGAAAACATCCTTGGATTTATCATACCTGCCACAATGTAGAGTTTTGTACTATTAATATACTCCAGCCCCTTGACTAGGCCTGATTTCTGAGACTACCCCATAAGAGCAGTAAGAACAAAGGAAGTCTGTAATATTCACTATTCATCACAATCCTATTGCCGGGAGACGTACTAGAACTACACAACAGCACTGTAATACTAAAAAAAAATCTATCTGTAGTAACAATTAGGGATCTGCAAAAATTTTTGGATTTGAATAATCTCATACTAACCTTGTCCGAATACATCACCTACCAAGTTCTCTAGGTGTGGAACTGAGCATTCCAAATATTTTGGAAGTTTTGAGCTCAAAACACGTCCACAATCTTCATATCAGCCAATTCATATTCAAAATAGGGTGCTTTGAATTTCAAATGTTTTGCACATCCCCAGGAGCAATCTTTAGTAGTTGTGATCACATTAATCTAGAAACTCTCCAAGAAAGAACTCTCTAATTAACAGTAGTGAAAAGTAGCAGAAAGGAAAATAATGCTGCTGATTGAGCCAGAAAATTTTCTATACAAGTAAAAAGTTACAGTTCACAAAACCACTTCTAGCAAACAATTATCTTAACTTGTGAAATTACTCTTGACCAAGCATTTAAACTCACAACAAGATAAAAATGATAGAGATGTGTTTCTTCCTCTCCAAGTCATAATGCAATTTCTATGGCAGGACTGAGCAAACTACAATCCACGTGTAATCCCTGTTTTTCACTCCAGGATCATACTGTTCAAAAATGGGCAATGTAACTGGAATTACACTGGCATGATTTGTTATTTAAACCAATCTACCAACAGCAAAAGGGCTAAAATGTTCATGCTAAAACTTTATCCAAAAGTTTGAATCTCGCAATTTCAGGGTTATTACTATATAATTATCTCTCTCTATGGCCTTCAACAGTCAGAATAATATTATTCCTTAGAAAGTTTTCCATCATAATGCAGTCTCATCTTAAACAGTGAAACAATCTCAGTTATCCAGTTTTATCATGCACATATGTGATATCTATGGCTAGAAAACCTCAAATTAAAGTCAGCTAAGGTCAAGTGGTTGTTAAGAATCCAGAAGCTACTGAAAACAGCCTGTGAATACAAGTGTAATTGTATTATTTCATCACAAACGTTCTAACGTCCTCAGCCATTTTTTCCCTAATAAACTGATTGCACTGCAATGCTAACTTCATTACTCACGTTTACATGGTAGATAGAATTCAAAATGCATAGCAACATTTACTGGAAGCCATCATGTACCACACTGACTAAGTATCTGAGGAAAAATTCAGTCAGAGCTTAGATGGGTCCCAACAATGCCATGAGAAGAAATGTGCGCATATGGTATCCTTGAGATTTCATCAGCTCCTCTTGAACAGGTATTACAGGAACAAGTCATAAACAGTTTAAAAACAGCCTTGGCTCCCATCAACTACATATCAGAATACAGTAATTGTCATAAAGATAAAGCTTTATAGTAGATAAATTCTACTAGTCATTTTGCTGACCAAATGGATAGGCTTCAATGGGAGATTAATATTTCTAGAGCCTCCAAAATCAGTGGTAGGGAGAGCTCAGCCTTTGAGAAGGACAAAAATAGGGGAGGGAACAGGGTCGGGGGTGTCTTCAACTCAGTCTTGACTCCTGGTGGTCGCAAAATTTCAGAAGTGGTTTGCCATCACCTTCTAGGGCTGAGAGAGAGTGACTGGCCCAGCTAGCTTTTCTGGCTAAGACAGAAATGACCTTGAGAAATGAGGGGAAGAGACACCGCCTAGAGCAGGGGTCCCCAACCCCTGGTCTGTGGACCGGCACTCGTCCATTGCATGCCAGAAACCGAGCTGCACAAACAAGCAAAGCTCTATCTGCGGAATGCAAGCAGCACACAAAATCACGCCCCCCTCCGGTTCGCGGAGACATCTCTCTCTATGGAACCAGTCCCTGGTGCCCAATAGTTGGGGGCCACTGGCCTAGAGAATAGTCAGATAAAAAGGGGGAGTCCTCAATTGCATAATGGGTAGAGCAACTCAGGATCTACCCTAACTTATCAAGCTATAAAAAAGAGATGGAGAGTACTTTCAGACTTGCAAGATTCCTTCCGTTAACATAACAATAAAATAGAATTAGCTTATAATAGGGTTCAATAAAGTAGAATTAGCTCATCTGGTCTACTTCCTGTCTGGAAAAGGTCACATGTAGAAGTGGTCCTTGACTTACAACCACAATTGAACCCAAAATTCCTGTTGCTAAGCGAAACATATGTTAAGTGAGTTTTACCACTTTTTACGACCTTTCACGACACGGCTGTTAAGTGAATTACTGCAGTTGTTATTAACATGGTTGTTCAGTGAATCTGGCTTCCCCAATTGACTTTATTTGTCAGAAAGTCACAAAAAATAATCACATGACTCCAGGCCACTGCAACCGTCATAAATATGAGTCAGTTGCCAAGTATCAGAATTTTGATCACATGACTATGGAGATGGTGCAACGGTCATAAGTGTGAAAAATGGTCATTAGTGACTTTTTTCAGTGCCATTGTAAGTTCAAATGGTCACTAAATGAACTGCTACAAGTCGAGGACTACCTGTATTTTAACCACTATCAAACAGGCTCTGGTTAACTCATTGGAAATTTAAATTTCCAAAGACCATTGAATACTGAAGCCCTCCAGAACAGCACAGGATTGCTCTCTTAGAAAAAAGAATCCACATCTGGGCCTAATTTAGTAATTCCCTGACTCTCCTTCACATATCATTCAGGTTGTAATTCAGCACTAATGCTATAACCAAATTTTATTTATCTTTTAAGTGCAGGTCTAATAATAGCTTGAAAATTCCTTTTCCCGCAAACAGTGCCAAATGAAAAGCTTTTCAATTTCAGTAAGATGCCTCCATTGTGGAACAGCAGACCATTTCCTGGAGTGGAAGATATGAGTTGGACTTTGCTACGTACTTTGTTGACAAAACCTCTGGAAAGAAATGAAGGAAGGTATCAATCAACTGTATTTATAAATCATAAATAAGAAAACACTGGAAGCTTGAAATTCTAAATAATCCATTAGCCACTTTTTTTCTGTAACTTAATTAAAAGGATACCTTCTTGTGTTATACCTTACAGATGCTGGGCTAATAACTATTCACAGCCTCTATCATAAGCTGGTGGATCACATAAAATAAGCCGGGGCTGGGTTGCTTATTCCAATGATCTGAATTCACACAACATCCTAAGCCAAAACCAAACTAACAACATGACTTCTTCTGCCTGCAGGGGCTTTCCACACAATTCTCCAGATCAGAAAGCACTTGGTAATTGCTCACTAGAAAGACTGGAAGTATCAAGTCACACAGAGGTGAAAAATCAAGTCCTGAGAGAACCTTTATAGCTCTCTGTGTGTGCCAGACTCTCTCAGAAGATGCCTTGTTCTTGATTTCATAAACTGAGCCACAACTTCTTACATTTGGAGAAAAAAAAAATGAGTAGTCCGTGTTGAAAACCAAAAATAAAACTTAATAAACTTAGATTTATGAAAGCATCGCTGCTCTTACACATTTGATTGGGAATAATTGATTAATTAGATCATCCCTATTCATAATCTTGACCTATGAATAATATGAAAAAAATATTTTTAAATTAGCAAATTAGGTAACAGAACATTCATGACCTGTTGCTCCTGCAACCCTAAGTAACAATAAATGAAAATTTACTCTCATCTTTTCTATTTGAACTGGCTTATAAATCAAACTAATTTTTAGCATTCCTAGACTTAGCAGGAAAGAATCCCAAATTTTAAACTGGTCTAGTGACTTTCTCATTTATCCCGCTCAGGATAGGTTAGCTGCATATTTGAGTGAAAACAATGCACAAGATCTTTTTGGTTTTCTTTAGGAATCAACACGGCAATTGTATTAGGACTCCTCTTCCCCCGGGCCCCACCCTTACTCATCGGAGCAGCAACTTTCCAAAAGCTCTTCCCACTCTGCAGCTGTACTTTCAGCCTCTTACAAAGACAGAGTGTTTCCCAGTTCACTTAATTTTCCCTGATTTGTTTCTACTGGTCAAAACATGGAAATACAGACAAGAGTCACTCAGCAACCACTGACCAGCACGATACCCATAAAGCAGGGACAGTAAGGTGTGGCAATCGCTAACAACATTCTTCATCCTGCTCCTCATTAATCACGCCCTGAGGGGTGGGCGTGGGTGAGGTTAAGGACGGTAGATTTTGATAATGTCTTTAATGACCCGTCGGCAGATTGGACAGCAGGCATTGAGCTGTTTCTTCAGTTTAAGACCACAGGTGTTGCACAGGCACATGTGTCCACAGGTATAGATCACCACATCCACCTCGTTGTCAAAGCAAACTGTGCATTCCCCGTTCTTGATGCGTGAGGGCTCTGGAGGTGAGAACACAGGAGACACTGGAGGACTCAGAGGAGAACTTGGAGCAGTCACTATATGGGATGGAAAACGAAGGAACTGGGGTTAGAAAAGTCACCTCCTTTTCTACAAGTCAGGCTAAAAAGGAATCACTCAAAACCATTTTTCTAACAATAAAAAAGAACCTTTTGTAAAGTAAACATTAAAGAGGCAATAAAGACAGGGGAAAAAAGTTATGTCATTACATCGGAAGTGAAATCTGACTGCTGGACAGAGAGGACAAAAATCAGCCAGGCATTGGAAACTGTTGGTTAGATGAAAGTGCATTAGAATAAATATAAGATTAATTTTATATAGCAATATAGAACTGCTTTCATAAAAAAATGTTTGCATCTTCTAAATAACTTTCTGTGTGCCGAAGATGTGAATGTCATGAATGGAATTTGGGGTGGCTAATATTACACAGAATGAATGTTTGTTGTCTTGAGGGGGGGAGCATGAGTGCAATTCTTAGCTACTGTTTAGTTCATTATTTGTAATGATGTGTTTATAATGATAATGATATGCTTGAACCAGTCTTTTATTAAGAGTATTTACTTCAGACTTCCCAGTTGCACAGCCTTCTGGTGCAAAAGGATGATGATGATGACAACAACGATGAAATAGCATAGTCTTTTAATCCAACTGTGGCTGAGAAGACACACACTGTCAGGAAATTTCTCCTTAATTCCAGGTTGCTTCTCTCTTTAGTCATTTTCCAACCGTTGTTTCTTGTCCTGCCCTCTGGTGCTTTAGTGAATAATGTGACCCTCTCTTCTTGATGGCAGCCCCTCAAATACTGGAATACTGCTATCATGTCTCCCCTATGTCTTCTTTTTTTTATTCTAGCCAAACCCAAGTCCTGTAGCCGTTTTTCATATGTTTTAGTCTCCAGGCCCCTGATCATCTTAGTTGCTCTTCTTTGATTTTTTTCCAAACTCTCAACATCTTTTTTGTGATATGGTGATCAAAACTGGCTGCAATAGTCTAGATGTGGTCTTACTAGGGCTTTATAAAGCGGTAACAGTACTTCTCGTGATCTTGATTCTACGCCTCTGTTTATATAACCCAAGATTTTGTTAGCTTTTTTGGTTGCTGCTGCTCAGTCATGTTTGTAACACAACGTATGCACGTTTTGACAAGCATTGTTAAATGAGATGAACATATTGAAGAAAACCCTACTGAATGCCTTTAAAAATGCTACAGTGATTATAAAGGTGAGAAAATATTTTCCTCCAGCCTAATAACTGGAGCACAGAAAATGCAACTGAAAAATGTAACAATCTTCTCTCTCCCCCCTCCCTCTCATTTCCCCCCCCCCCACATTTCTTTGTAACTAGATTAGTAATTGAGAGGGAGATGAGATTTCCAATCTACACGGATTCTTTTATGCAGTATCCTTCAGTGCATCGGGAAACTAAGTACATGCACATTTGCTATCTCTTTCTGAGGATCAGTCAATATTCAGGAAACCAATGAACTATCACAATATGTGAAGAACAAGTATGTCCTGGTGAAATATGGCATTTACAGAGTCAGCACTTTGGCCTTTTGCCATTTGCTTTTATTTCCTACCAGTGAGTTCTCTAGCACTAGTTCTGACAGATGGAGATTTTTCTGCTTAGTTGCTTGTATCCCTTAAACGTTGTTCCATTGCTCTGTCAAATCATTTTAGCTTCATTGGGCTTCTGTTGCTGCGTTTGCAAAAGAAGATCTGTGCATCATCTAAAGATGCCCAACGGGACACTTAAAAGCAACCTCGGGAAATTTTACGTCCCTTCCTCTCAACAAAAAGTATGCCATGCTTAGCACAACTCACTAGGCCTTCTTTCAGACAACTCAGCCCACACAGCTTGGATTGTACTGTATTTCTTAGGGTACTGAATGCAGATATTCCCACTGCAGTGATGAGCAAACGATCCTTACCTAGGGATGATTCAGAAGCAGATGAAGACCGGTTCACGCTGAACGCCATGTCCGAATCGCTGTCATATTGGGAGCCTCCAGGGGATCCTGAGGGGGAGATGGTCACAGGGCTGGATTGTACGGTGCCTGAAAAGAAAAAGTTTAGTCAGCTGCCCAAGTTGGGTAGGAATCTCTTGGGAACAGGTGTCTCAATTTGAGTTCAATTTGGGAACCGGAGAACAACTTCTGTTTCAGCTTCCCAACAGTCTTTATAGCAAGAGTGGTTTCTAACTACATTATGTTACTTTTTAGCAGGCTTGTTTAAGATAATGAGCACCCTCTACTCAAAAGCAAGGTTCACTTTCCTCCTAGCTTCAGGCCCAGGACTATGCTGAACTAGGAGAGATCCAAATTGTCTTTGTAAGATGAAATGGATATTTCATTTAGCACAACCCTGATGCAAGGGAAAGATTTTCCTATTCTTCTAAAATGGCATTCTGTTATGTCATTAATAAATTAATAATTTGTAGCCTCTTCTCCCCACTAACATTAATAAAATGTAGCCTCTTCTCCCCACTAACAAAGAAGAAGCAGGCTAGCCATGATAGCTAAACAGACCTCTCCTGTTTCAGTACCTGGTATTAGAGACAATAAAGAACAGGGTAGACCAGATGTTCCATGCTTAAGTACCTAGCTCTCTCTTTTTGAGAAGAGAATGCTGGTTAGGTGATCCCATGATTGATTATACATGGCAGTTGTTTCTACACTAGTAAATGCTACTCCAGAATCTGATATTTTCCAGCTGTTAAACAATCCCTTCAGTTGTACTAATGGCTTGTAAGTCCTATCTAGCAGTGGTGCTAGAGAGCAATGATAGGATTATCACAGATCCTCACTACCTTCTTCTGTTCTTGTACTCTGCTGGGGTTGGATGCAAATTCCTTCCTTTTTGCCTGAACCTAGTTGGCTGAACAATAGAAACTTGTGCAGACTATTTAGCTTCACTTTATAAAAAGGGGTTAAAAATACATGCTTGACAAACAGAAGATAGACAGCTGGTTCTGTCCTTTTGATCAGGTATAACAAAATAACGGAGCTGGATGGGACCTTAGAGTCTTCTAATCCAGCCCCGTGCTCAAGCAGAAAATCCTATATGATTTCAGACAAGTGGTTGTCCAGTCTCTTACTAAAAACCTCTAGTGTTGGAGCACCCAAAAGATATAACTTCATATTTTAATCATCCTCATGCTGGTCAAAGTACAAAGCGTTTAGCCAATTGGCTGTTGCACGCTAAAACGAAAAAGGGTCTCTCCAAATGGCTGTAAGGCTCTTCATTGTTTCACTAACACTTCCTTTATATTATTCTGGTTATTAAGTTTGATGCAATACTTACTTACCTAATATTTTTAGCTGATTGATTACACCATGGATTGAGAAGAAAACCCACAGCGATTGTGAGGTATCAACACACATCAGCATCCCACGGCTTATCCCGTTGATTCCATGATGCACTTCTCCATTTGGCAAAAGCACAAAGTTGAGGATGTCACCATTGTTGAGGACTGGGAAACCTCGGCAAACCACCCAGTACTCCTTGCGATCCAGAAGAAAATCTGGATCTGCTGGGAGCTCATTTGTCCGTAAAGTACCGGGATCACAGGAAGTGATACCAAAGGTGAGGGCCCCATAACATGGCAAGCCCAGGTGTCCCACTTCCACAAACAAGCTTTCGCCGATGTGCAAAGGTCGATCAGAAAACACCAAGGTCCTGTTGCTTTCCTGCCAGTTGGTGCAGCCAGACATACGATCCTGAGAAAAGTTAATATCAGGCCCGTGAGTAGGGTGGAAATGAAGATCTGTGTCTAGAAAGGCAGGCACAACTTGGCCCAGCTGCCTCCTGCTTGGACAGCAGGGGATTGTATGGTTATCGGTGGGCAGCCCAGGCATGCGGCTCAAATTCAGATTTGCAATTTTGGCAACCACTTGATTGTTCTCCAGCTCATTGTTGTTAAAATTGGCCGAATCGTGGTTGCTCTGAGGAAGGCAAGTGCTGAGTCGTGCGTTGCTCAGACGGGTGGAGGTCATGGTCTCCGCAAATATGCTATCTGTAAAGTGAAGTCAAGATTACAGATAAGCTATAAGTCCCATTCAGACTATTGTTTTGAGCTGCGTTGTGATTAAGTCTTTTTACTTTAGCCCATTTTGAGTAGGTTATTAATAGTTTCAGCTCTATTTTCGTCATATATAAATGTCAGAAGCAGTATTTTATACCAGCCCTTCTGAGTTTTCATAGTTACAGACTAAACCAGTTTGTTCCAGGGGTTAAGGTTGCAGTCTAGAAACTGGAAGCCCCTGAATTTTAATCCGATCTTAGCCATGAAAGCCAGCTGGGTGACTTTCAGCCAGTCTCTCTCTCTCTGAGCCCATCTCACCTCATAGGGTTGTCGTTGTGGGGAAAACAGGAGGAGGAAGGAATATTAGATAAGTTCACCACCTTGAGTTGCTTATAAAAATAATAAAGACCAGAATGTAAATTAAAAAAGCAAAAGCAAGATAGAAGTATAGAATTTAAAAACCAGCAGACTTGGGGATCTGATCTTTTTTGAATTTCAGTTCCCATCAATCCTAATTTTCCTTCGACGTGGCGTGGATAGATATTGATAGATGTTTTTATGCTATTATTTTTATATTTGCATTTATTATTTTTATGTTTTCTATTCTATTTATTATGGTCTGCTGCCTCGAGTCACCTTTGGTGAGATGAGCGGCTATATAAATTTGATAAACGAAGAAAGAAATGAATAAAAATAACTTGTAATTCAAACATACTTGGAGGCTGAGGATCATATGTTAGCTATCCTTGCATTAAATTAAACCCCACTAAGTCAATTTAGTAATAATCTCCCAATTCATTCATGTAGTTCAGTATATTATTAGCGTTCTTTTCAGGAGTCCTTGCACCTTGCAGCTCCTTCTTTTTCAGCTATAAAAAAGAGTGTATCAAGAGAGAAGTCCATTCCTGTTTACTGATCTCCCTCCCTCAAACTTGCAATTTTTTTAATAAAAAACCCTTTCCTATCTTCCTCTGCCTTTGTCACTGCCACTTTAATTCACCAAAGAGAAACAAGAAAACATTTAATCGTCTTACAGATCATTAATAATATATCAGGTAATATGTTGCACATTAAAGCAGCAGTTGTGGTACCTTCAAGCACACTAGATACTTTGTTATTGACAGGCCATGTGAGCAGGCTAGAGACTCTCCCAGAATTATTCACATCTGATAGCTTCAGATGTCAAGAAAAAGGATGCTTCTTATCCAAAAGCAATAAAACTGAACCAGGCTGCTCCACAGTAAGCCATTCTTTTCACTCAAAGTTGTCACAGCTGAGAAAGAGGAGGCACATTGAAATTGTGTACTAATTTGCCAAAGGTTTAGGGTGCTTCTAGAACAGGGGTCTTCAAACTTGGCCCTTTTAAGACTCGTGGACTTCAACTCCCAGAATTCCTCAGCCAGGCTTTTAAGACTCATGGACTTCAACTCCCAGAATTCCTCAGCCAGGCTGGCTGAGGAATTCTGGGAGTTGAAGTCCACGAGTCTTAAAAGGGCCAAGTTTGAAGACCCCTGTTCTAGAACTACAAAGCAAAAGACATTGTGCAGCATTTTAGCTTTCCTCCCCTTTTCATGTTTTTTCTTCCTCTTTCATTAGTGGTCAGAAAAATGTTGCAAGACACTATGGAAAAACAGGGTAGCTGCAAAATGCAAGACTACAATTTCTGGCTCGCTTGTCCATTTCCATTTTTTAGACAAGGCACAATGAAAGCCTTGTCTGGAAGCATGCTCAGCTCTCTAATTTTAGGCCACTCTATGCATAGTATTCCACTGAAATCATAGCATGATTTGTGGAAATGATATGGAGAATGCATGAGTCCTACTGGTGGATGACCTAAACCGGAGATAGGATAGGGTGGTGCTGACTCCTGATTTCTCAGTGGCTTTTGATAAAATCAATCATGGTATCCTCTTGAACTTGCTAAAGGGAAAGAAGGACACTGAGTTACTGTGATTTTCTTCCTTTCTCTGCAGCTGGCTCCAATTAGTATTAACTGGAGGGAAAAAGTTGAGCCTAAAACTTTTCATTTGTGGGGTGCCTCAAAGCTCAATGCTTTAGTTCCTCCTGGCCCAGAGTACAGTAGCATTCTGCACAAGCTGTGATGGGGAAATCTTGCTGTGGCAGTGCAACAACCCTGGTATGTGAGCTATATTGGTTACCAGTTGGCTTCTAGGGCAATTCAAGATGCTGGATATCGCCTATAAAGCCCTATATTACATAGGACCTAGCTACTGAGAACCACCTGGCTCCTATAATATCTACCTGTTCTGTGCTGTAACAGACTTGGCTTTCTTCAAGTCTTTTCGATTAAACAATTAGCTAGTGAGACTCATAAAGTGGACCTTCTCTACTGCACCTGCCCTTTGGAATAGCATCCTTGTAGAGCAGGCATATCAAACTCGCGATGTCACGTGATGTCGCGCAACGTATCAGGCCGGTTTCGCCATTGCCGGCAATGGGGTGGGTGCGGCTTCCACGTGACGCATCCGGCCCATGGGCCAGCAGTTTGACACCCCGGTTGTAGAGATATGCAGCTGGTCCCAGCTAGCTGGCCTTCAAGTGTCCTTTAAAAACCAGATGGCCTAAAAATTACATCCTACATAGAATCAGAATATGATAGACCAAGTATATTATCATCATTTTATGCCAATATTTATTCTTTCTTTTTAATATAATTCCACAAAGTAGGAAGAGAAGAAAGAATAAAAATAACGTTTTTCAATTTCTATTCCTTCTACAAAAAGCATTGGAATATAAGATGAAGTCTGGAAAATGAAGTAACTCAAATCTACTCTTTTGAATTGCCCAAGGCCTGATACTGTTTTGTTACTTGGAAAATGTATGACTCTTGAAGAAATGGACAGGACCTTGTGATTCTTATTCCAGTGATCTGTTTATTAGCTCCATGTGTCTCCTGACTGGTAAAAGCTTCCTGGGATGTGATATAGTTGGATCCATGTGGTGGTAAATTCATGTTTAAGAAAGGGGGTAAGGATTCTTATCTTTTGGGTAAAGTTGTTAAGGTCATCAGAATGTAAGTAGTCCTTAACGTATTGCTGGTTGCTTGGCAAACATTCAAAGTTAGGACAGATCTCCATAGGACTACTTATAGCACAGATTCAAAGTTATGATAGGTGTTTGCAGTGGCCCACATTTATGGACATTTGCAAAGTCCTATAGTCACATGTCCAAAATTTATAGGGAGGTGGGTTTTTTTGCCAAAAAACTGGAATTTACTTTTGGTTTCTGGGGAAAAAATCATTCTAGACCAGGGGTGTCAAACTCAATTTCATTGAGGGCCGCATCAGCATTGCAATTGTCCTCGGGGGAGGGAGGGTAAGTGTGGCCAGGGTGGGCACAACCTACTGGGTGGATGTGGCTGGAGCAGGTGTGGCCTACTGGGTAGGCGTGGCCAGCTCTACATCATTCACATCAAGGGTGCCTGTGGGGGCCTGGGCAGAAGTGGGACAGATCTGAGGGTCTCTAGCAGAAGGAGGTGGGACCAGGGCAAGTGCCAAGGCATAGTCCACTGGAAGAGTCTGCTGAAACCCCTCCCCCGGAGCCCATCAAACCAGATATGGGCTCCGGGCAAGGGCCATTTGCTGGCCACTTCCAGGTGATGGTGCATTTCTTCATTCCTCACAAAGGGTGACACCTCCCCAGCATGCACCCAGGGGGCAGGGCCTATGCAGAAGGGGCCGGTCCCTTGCTAGTTCTAGACGGCCTTGTGGAGCTAAGACTTAATGCGTTTCAGCATAGATGGCCACCACAAAATTTTACATTGGCTCCCGGCTGGCCTGGGCCAGGGCCAGGGCAGTGGGGGCCGTTCCCTCACTGTTTCCAGGATGGCTTTGCGGGCCATATGAAACCATGTCGCGGGCCGCATCTGGCCCCCGGGCCTTGTGTTTGACATGTCTGTTCTAGACAAAGGATTCATTTAACAGCTGCCGCAAGAAATCCATAAAATCAAGACACTTTCACATGGTGATCTGCTTATCAACCAGCATGACTTACATTCATAAGTTGAATGCTACCTGTACAGATTCAGAGGACCCTGGACTTGTTTCAGTGCTGGGGCGTAGTATGGAGGCAGCACTGATCACACTGGTTGATGATTTTTGACATAATTGGGAAGTATGAAGAGTGATTATCATGACTCTTCTTGATTTTTCGCTATCTTTCAGTACAATTGGTCATGGTAAAAGTTTACATTAGATATGGGGTTGGGGAATAAAGGCCATAATGTTGTGGTGGCTCTTTTTTTTTATAGCCATTTCTTCTCAATGTTGACAGATGGGGAGAGGTCCAGCCCTAAGATCTTGGTTTGCAAGATGCCTCAGGGTTTGATGCTCCAGTTTCTTTCTTTAACATCCACACGAAACTGTTGGGTAAGTCATATACTGACCTGAGGTCATATATCATCAGTATGCAGTATTTGGCACCTATGGCCAGGAAAGCCTTCACACAGTTTCATCTGATTGATGAAGCAAATTTAACCCTTCCTGGAACAGGTATTCCTTCTCATAGTCACTCATGTCTTGATCATCTTGAATATGGATTATTGCAATGAATTCTATACAGGGCTGCCCTTGAAGTCCACTTGGAAGCAGCAAGTGACCCAAAATGAACAACATGAGCAGTTATGGGGTATTCATGGATATAGAGAGCTACAGAAATCGTCTTGAGGGAAATATTGAAAAGCCATTACAGGAACAAGTACTTAAGTATTCCTTACACCAGGGGTCCCCAATCCCCGGTCCGTGAACCAGTACTGGACCGCAGCATGCCAGCAACTGGTCCACACAAACAAGCAAAGCCCCATCCGCGGGATGTAGGCAGCACACAAAACCACGCACTCTCCGGTCCGTGGAAAAACTTCTTTCCATGGAACCGTTCCCTGGTGCCCAAAAGGTTGGGGACCTCTGCCTTACACTGGAAAAGAGATAGTAGGAGTAGGCTTAGGTTGGCTCTTCAATGATTCAATGGGGTATACCTTATATTAATAAAACATAACCATTCTTATGGCATTGGTGCCCTGTTCTGGTCTACTTCATAAGGTTGACATGTAATGCCTCTGCTATGTGAGTAAACAGATTAGGTTTCTGCATTCAAGTCAAGATACTGGCCATCACCTATAAAACTTAATAGCATGGGGATTGTCTCTTTCCCATTACTCTTGCCTAGCCCAAAATTTCTGACATGCTTATTATCTGATGGAACTTCAGAAATGCTTCTTTTCTGTTGGGCAGCAGCACTTTAGAACAGTATCCCTGTGATGGTTCAATGTCTAAAATCTCGCAAGATTTATAATTTTTTTCTTTTTCCTGGAGTGTGTTCATGTGGTGTGCAATGGCTTATTTTGGTTTACGTATGTCTGTTCTGTCCATTATGCCTTCTGTTATAATTATTTTTGGTTGTATTGTAGTGTAGTAACACTGATAAAGAGTCAATGTTGGGTTGGAAGGCGTTGGAGTCAGGTTTTTAAAAAAGCCCAAATGGTACTGATTTTTTTTTAAATGGCCTTTAGTTTTTAATGGATGTGTGTTTAAATCATAATCTGACAAGTCCCATTAATGTATTCATTATATAACAACAACAACATTGGAAGGGACCTTGGAGGTCATCTAGTCCAACCCCCTGCTCAGGCAGGAAACCCTATACCATTTCAGACTGTTCTATCATTTATAAAACATCACGTAACATTATCCTGGAGCTAAATTATCCTCTGCAATCATGCCTATAATAGCACGAAGGGACTCTTACCTTGTAGAGCTGCAGAGATCTGCAATAAACACCAAAAAGGTAAAACAGGGTGATTGGCAGCAGCTTCAGTCAGATAACCCATATTACACCAGAGACATGTTCTGAGAGTAGCTGGAACTGCAGACTACCTCACAAGCATGAACTAAACTCTGGTAGCAATTATGATCCCTAATTTTCTGTAAACATATCCTAGCAGCCTTGCCTGAAAAGACAAAAGTAGGAGCTGTATTTCTAAATGGGATGAGTGAAATCAATTTCTTTCCTACACTTTGTAGGAATTGGTGATAAATCAAGAGAATTAGGTTCATGACTACATTAGACAGAGTCAAACAGGGGGTGGAGGTGAAGGGGAAGGAAACTTCCAATCACAATACTGTTGTCTATGCTGGAGTTTTCAGATAGACAAAAAAGTGGTGTTTCTTTTCTACCTAGGTGCAGTTCTTACTTAAAAGCATGACAGGTCTGGAATGTAATGTGAGACTGTAAGTAGCCTTTAAAGGAGATAACAGTTATAAAGCCTGCATTGCAGAAGAAGGAAGAGGAGAGTCACAGTCCTTCCCTGGACCAAGATGCATATAGCTAGTATCTTGGGGAGTCAAAGGATGAGCAAAATAATTTTTATTTCATGTACATGGCCTCCACAGTCACTGGCATACATGATTCCAAAAGCTAAAGCGTAACTGAAACTAAGGACAAACATTTGCAACCTTACTACAAAATAGAAACATGCTATGAAGGAACACTACAAGCATTAAGCCTTTGCCCACACATATTTATTATTGTTTGATTTAGTTAAAATCCCAGTTGGTCATATTAGAGAACAGAAAGACAGATTTCCATAGGACTTCTTAAGAGAATATTTGTTTGTATAATGCTCTTTCCTCTGGAGTTCAATACTTTCTTTGAGGAACCAACTTCTCACGCACTAAGCTTGTATTAGTGTGCAGGTTGCTGTTATATGCATGCTCAGGAGATCATAGGAATGAAGGCTTCCTATACTCAACTCACTGGGCTTGCGTGAAGGCTGGATTAATAAACGCCATCTACACTTCCAGGCTAAGATAGCCTGCTGAATGAGGTATTTGGGATCTTTCCAGTCCCTTAATGAGGGCTCCACTTCAGGTCATCTGGTTGAGCAAGAGGAGGGAGGATGGCTTAGAACAGGGGTAGGCGACCTTGGCTCTTTTATGACTCGTGGACTTCAACTCCCAGAATTCCTGAGCCAGCCTACCCCTGGCTTAGAATGATGGAGTCACCAACATACTGTAGTACAGCCCAATTACCACTTCTGGAGGGGTATGATAGGGGCTTTTTGGGTGAACATTTTTCTCCATAGCCCCTTGTTTGAACCTGTCTAGTTTTTAGTATTTCTTTTGTCAACTTGGTTATTAGCAGCATCGAATTTTGTCTAATTCTGTTCTAATGGGAAGACAGATAGAGTCTATCTTTTTTTCCCAACAGGTTAAAAAACAAAACAAAACCCAAAATGCTAATTTTTGCTTGGAAAATAGTCAACCTCTGAAGAATTTTGCAAGGCTTTTTTTTCTGTGAAATGGAAGTGAATATGTCTAGGTTGCATTCACAACATGTTCAGCCAGGTCAGTTAGAAGCCTAGAATTACTTCTACACAACACTCTAAACTTCACTAGTTTTAATTTCACTTAATTTTTGTGGCTTAATATTGGGTGAATCCAGGCCACTTCATTAGTTTACGGTCAACATAAACCTAGGAAAAGGATTATTTTTTAAAAAATGTGTTGGGTAAACAATGTTTCAGCACAGTGAAAGAACTGGGCCAGAAGTGACCTTAATGAAAATGAAAATGAAGAACTTGGTATCTGCAATTTACATTTTCAAACAAGTAGCAGCTTCACTTATAAATGCTTTTTCAAGAGGCTGAGAGAATGAGACTGTTCATCTTGTGAGCAAAGGCCAGTTCAAGAAACTATATGGCACTGGAACTATAAATTGAATGCCCTACTTTTTTTATCAGTAATATTTTCTGACATTTCTAACTTCCTACTTCAATCAAAATGTAAACCACAACACACACACACACACACACACACACACACACACACACACAGACCGGACAAACTGCAGCAATCTATATTTCAAAGTTCAGAAATTCAATTTGCCTTCCTGACCAGCATATAACAGTTGTTGTGTTTTTAAAGATTAGCAGATAGAAGGATACACCTACCTAGTATTTGCACCTCGTGAGTGATTCCATACACATCTATTAGCGCCCAGAGAGGACCGGAGACTTTGACGCCGCAGTGAAACAGAATTGGCTCTTCTTCATTAACGCTATAGAAAACTCTCCCATGGCGATCAACCCAGAATGCCAGGACATTGTCCCTTAGTGCAAACCTCTCTGGCAGAGCTTTAGCCCAGAAGCCTGGTCGGGTTACCAGGTCTGGACAGGCATATTTTGGAATGTCACCGGCACTCATCTGTGATGGATCATGAGTTGTGAAGCCAAAACGCAACGCCCCGCTCCAGCCATGGTGCACAGACACCAGCTTCAGACGCACTTTCTCATAGAGATGAATAGGACGGTTAGTGAAAGTGATGCCATTGCAGAAACTGTTCCTTCGGATGGCCTTCCGAGAATGGGTATCCAGGCGGATGTTTTTTCCTTTGGCCTGGAAGTGGAATCGTGGAGGCTCAGTAATGGTGAGGACAGATCGCCTCTCGTGGTTACCATTGGGCAGGGTGTAATAAGGCCTGTGGGATACGGGACGAGCTTGATGACTGGTGTCTGCAAATAGAGGGAGGAAAAAAGCAGTTATTTAGAAGCGGCTCATAAAAATCACTCTAAGACAGGTTGCAATCCTTTGCTGAGTGCGTTGCAAGTTCTTTGCTTCAGCAACAAGAAATTAAACAAACAAAAGTGGATATCCTCTTATTTCTTATATTTGCAAGATTCTTTGCATTTTTGCAATTTTATTTTTTTTTCTAAATTAGAAAGGCTACCTTTTGAGAACAATATGTAGCTTGAATCAGAACTGTAATGCTGTTAACTAAAGTTTGCTATTGAATTAGCACAAGTTAGTAATGGTGTAATTGATGGGCCATTCTATTGTGGACTTTATCAATTTGTTGCTACATAGTAGTGGTCCCCAACCACTAGCAGTGGTGGCGGCAGCAACGGTGGTGGCAGGGATGGTTTTGCACATGCACGCGCCGCTTGTGCAAATGGAGCTCTGCACGCTAGAATGCTGCTTGTGGGACCTGATTCCCAAAGGTCCACAAATAGATACCGGTTCGCAGACCAGGAATTGGGGACCCCTGCTATATAACATTTACAAAGACACTGTTTGAGCAGCTATTCTGGTTTTCAAATAACTAAAGGAAGTTGATTTGCTAAACAATTATTTCTAGATTATGAAATATTGGAGGCAGTTGCTAAATAATCACCAACCACCATTTCACTCTTCAGAAGTCAGGGATGTCTTTAGTTCTGTATGCAAATATTTTCTGTGTGCTACCCAAAAGAAGACTTGTCTGATTTAAAAGACGAAAGAAATGTAAAAGAGAGTTGCAATGCACGTTACGTGCCGTTCTTTTTATGACCCTCAAAAACCGTGGCTGGATCAAGGAAGACACATGCTCTTTGAAGTGCTTTGAACCACTAAAGCTATTTTCAACTTACGTACTCCAAAGCAGAAAGGAAATTTGGTGATTCTGAAACAATGGAACATGCTATTCTATTTCAAGGTTTTGTTTTTTTTTATCATGCAAGTATTCATCTCCTTCAGGATATCATGTCCAAGAATTAGTCCACAGACATTAATTCATTTAGCGGCAACAGTTGTTTCAGGCCAAACAACTATGCATTTACCTCACCTAATCAGTGCAAAAGTCCAGGAGGAGCACAGCTTTTTAAAGGAGGTACCTACTTAGTCTGATGAACTTTTTCAATTCTGGATCCACAGTGCAATACAATCCTACAGAGAACTGATGCTTCATATTTCCACTTTATTGTAACAATCTATATGGCAAGGAATAAATATGTCGTAACCAAACTCTTGTTTTGATCATCCTGCATCCTACAACTATATCTAATCCCACCACATATTTATATTTTGGGACACCTGTTAATACCTAAGAGATAGGAGGTAAATATATCCCCATTGTTACGAAAAACCTTTCTGTTCTTGTGCGACAGATTTGTTGTATATGTTTTACTGATTCCCAGTCGATCACCATTTTTGTGAGCATGTGCAGAAATTTGACCAATTGCATCCTTATCCCTCTTAGAAGCCAAGGTTCTCTGTTGTGTCACTCACTGAAAATATCACCATGTCCTAAACCAGGTGTAGGCAATCTTGGCTCTTTTATGACTCATGGACTTCAACTCCCAGAATTCCTGAGCCAATTCTGGGAGTTGAAGTCCACAAGTCATAAAAGAGCCTACCCCTGTCCTAAACCTTCCTTGTCTACTATCCATCTACCATTGCATGTATATCATCTGAACTTTGATTCCTCCTATTTTACAATTCAGCAGATTGAATTTTATCACACTTCAGATCCAAGGCCAACAAGGGTCCTCCGGCTTCTTAAAAGCAATTCAAAAGAGCTGATTAAGCAGCTAAAGGGAATTTTTAATAGAATGTGTACATAACAAAAAGGCAGTGCCTCCTCTTTTCCAGTCAAAAAGTGAAGGGCCTCATAAAATGTTTCATTCAACTTTATCAACCGGTATCTTTACTCTTCCCCTGCCCGATGGCATTCTCTCATCAGCTCCATAAACATTTTCAAACTTATAATCGACTACTTCCATTCATCTATCACATATTACTATCACATTAGTTTAGCTTTCTATAATATCAGCTTGGCAAACAAGAAAATTATGTGGCTTATAAAAAGATTACACTTCCTCATGTTTCATAGGAATAAAGCAATCCTTCAACAGATATGCCTTCTTCCAAACTCCATATTGACATTCCAGCTGATTCAGGACTTTTCATTACCTATCCTTTTCCCCAGTCTCTTGATGTTAGAGATTGCTTACCTTCTATCCAGGTCAAACAATTAAACAGCATTTAATTTTGTCTAAGGCCCATCTAAAACACCGGGTCCCTTTCCCCAATGTATTCCAAATGGAACAATTGTTAAACTATGCTAATAAAACACTAGTCATCCATTTGTATGAATTACAGAGATTAGGATGAAAAATAGGTTACTTTTGTGCAAATGAAGTTCTTTGATAAATCTTTTGTGAATTTATGCAATCTATGCATTTACTACATTTAGTTTCAATTAATCTCACATTCCTTCTGAGTCTCCAATTTCTTGGAAATTGAGCTATATCTAACCTTGCTTGTTATGCACAAAAAATGGGCCTCCTACCAAAACTCTATGAACTATAGAAGATTCAGAAGAGGCTGTCTGCAAGTGCAAATATGTGAATTCACAAAAGAACACTTAAATAATTAGTTATTTATAAATAACCAGTTCTTTTAAACTTTTTTCAGATCTTGTACTTCAGTATAAATAGTATGAATTATTCCTCATCTAATTGTTCCAACATTTAAATATGTATATCTAATGCCAATCCTGAGCTTTATGTTTAAAAATATCCAGAAATCAAGCTACGTGAAGCAGTCCAGTACATGTGAGACCTGATTTAAAAAAAATTGGCTGCTATGAAAGTGTTTTTGTATGTTTCCAACTTATGACTTTGCCTTATGACAGGAACACTGTAATGGCAAGTATTCAGCAATTATTTCCACTATTTGTAATGAATGACGCACACCATCTAAGACAAGATTAAAGGTTTGTTTTAATAAACTACAACCAGAAAAAATAATCAAGAAATATAGCTTTATTATTCTGGCTACTCTAAATGCTGAAAAGAGAAACCAAATATGTATTTCCAATACTTATTAAAGTATACATTGAATTAAACTTGTCAACACTTCAGCCTGAGAAATAGGGGCATGGCTAATTTAATGTTTTGTGCATTGTACAATGTGCAAAAGTTCTGAATGCAGAAAAAAATAGTTTAACCTGCAGATAGGAGACAACTGATTAGGGTTATTAATTTATTATTTTTACCTTTATCAAGTATCTTTAACAGGCTGCAAAATGATCTTCCAGCAATGGGAATATGATAAATACTGCACTGATAAACTAGATAAAGTGTGTCTAGAAAAAGTCCATATAATGGGGGGGGGGAAACAAAGGCAGTCTAGGAATTACAGTATAGTATGAGCTGTTGAAACCACATTTACTGTTTTCAGTAATCTAGAGCCTGTTTTGTTTTTTTGTGGGACAACACATTGAAAAACTTGACAGTTCCAAGAAATTTCTGTCAATTGGTATGAATGAGTTATGGAAGACCAGAGCTGAGATTGCAAATTAGATATAAGTATCCCTGAGAGCCATATATTCCTAATATTGCAAGGTAGAGAAAAATGCTAATAAATTAGTATATTTTTCTGTGTATCAGTTTTTTAAAATATGGGAATATCACTCAAGCATTTGGTGCCATTTCTGATATGCAGTGTGAAATAATTGTTCCACTTTATAATTCTGATTCTTTCACTTCTTCAACTTCAGCTTATTATTTATACAAAACAAGGAAACCATCTCAGAGTTTACGTTGGGATAAATGAGAAAAGAAAAGTGCTGCCATTGCTGTCCCAAGAAATTATGTAGACGTACTACTTATTCTTCTCTTTCCCCACCCTCCAATATTATATAGTATCAATGACACAAACAAGGAAAATAAAACTTCACAAAGTTATATTTAATTTACCGGAACTAATGGGGGACTCCACCCAGTGCTATACAATGCAACTGCTCTCACATTACTTCAACATTTCAAGTACACAAAAGTCACCTAATTCTTGAGAAAATTCACCAAGAAGCCGTGATCCTGCAGCAGTTTTACTACTAATTTTAAGTCCGCCTGAGCATGGCGGGCGGATGTTGATTGGATTAGAATATCGTCCAGGTAACACTGGACTCTGACCGGAATGGTCCTTAGGTGTGCTGCCAGAACCGCCAGTATCTTGGTGAACACCCTGGGTGCCGATGATAGGCCAAATGGGAGCGCTCTGTATTGGAAGTGATGTCCCCTGTAAGTGAACCGTAGAAACCGGAGGTGAGCCAGAGAGATGGGGATGTGTAAGTATGTCTCCGTGAGGTCGATAGATGTCAGAAAATCCCCTTTTCTTACGCTTCCTAGGATGGAGCGCAGAGTCTGCATTTTGAATTTGCGGTATGTTAGGTAGAAATTTAGCCTTTTTAGATCCAGAATGGCTCTCTACCCCCGATGGTTTTGGAACCACGAAGAGGATAGAATAAAATCCCTGACCTCTCTGGTCCATAGGCACCGGTTCTATGGCCCGTATGCTTAGAAGGTGTTGAACGGCTTCGTTAATGAGCTTTCTCTTTGTTGGGTTCGCGGGACAGGGGTAGGGGCGGAAGTGGTTCAGGGATTGGAGAAGAATTCTAGGGAGAGACCATGGCGTATGGTGTCTCTGACCCATATGTCCATGGTGGTTTCTTCCCACTGGAGGGCAAACTGGGCGAGCCTGCCCCCTATGGGAAGGTCTGGGAGGGAGTCATCTGGTACTGCGAAAGGGGCGATTGTTCCCCCGAAAGGGCTGTCTTCCTTGCGCCTGCCTATGCCTTGTGTTTTGTCTATCCGTCTGTCTTTCCTGCCTATCCTGCCTAGGCTGGAAGGATTGGGAAGGTTGGAAATAATTGAACCTGGTTTCAGCGCGAAAGGACTGTTTCCTTCCGAAG